TCTCCTTCCTTTTCCTTCCTTCTTCCTTCTCCTTCCTTCTTCCTTCCCCTCTGTCCTTATTTTTCCTTCCTTGCTCTCTTCCCATCTTTCTTTTTCTTTGTCTTTCCTCTTTCACTTTCTCCTTTTCTGTCCCTTCTTGGATGCTCAATGCAAAAAGGGAAACATTTCTTTTTTTGTTTTGTTTTGCTTTTAGTTTGCTTTGCTAGCCCTTTGCCAGTGAAAAGAGAGCTTGGGGGCCCATGTGTGGCCTCCCCCAGCTCCATTTTCAGCCGCAATGGCCTCCTGCAGCCCTCTGCCAGCAAAAATGGAACTGGGGGTGCATGCGCAGGCACTGTAGGCTGATCCTTTGCTGTTTCCAGCATGGCCCCACAGGCCAGATCTAAGACCCTGTGGGCTGGGTGTGGCCCAAGGGCCTTGAGTTTGACACCCCTGGCTTACAGGTTGAGAATCAGTGGACTTGGTTGACTTTAGAATAACTACTGTATGCATAAGACATCTTGAAGAGATGTGTCAAGCAGAAGTGGGGATGTTCATGACTGCATGTTTTAAGATTATGTTTATTTTTAATAGGTATCTCTAGGCTTCAGTATTGCGAAGATAATAGTCAGAAATTGCTATGCTAACTTTCCTGCTTTGCTCCAGGCTCATGTAGTTATTTAATGACATGATGGTTTCTAGGGGTCCTAGGGCTCCAGCAGTTGACTAACTAAATATGCTCTCTGGAGATCCCAGTGCATAAAAAATGGGAGGTTTTTTTACAATATAAAGATCCTGCAAATTGTGTCATCTTTGTAACAAGATGGAATACCTCATAACACAGCATTAGGTTATGTGTGAGGGAGGCAAGCAGCCTCTTAATGGCTACAAGATGTTGAAAAGAACAGAACTGAAGCTGTATGGGGTTTCTGTCGTGACTCAAGAAAGCCTTTGATCATTTTAAATAAACTCAAACAATTAGCGTCCTAAAAACTAGAATGTTTTTAATGGCATTCTATAAAGCTTGTTGACATGCATATCCAGGGTACTTAAAGGAAGGGAAAATACACTACTTTCATGATGGATAAGTGTTTTAGGCAATTCATGTTAAACCTCACAGTGTTAAATTCAAATAAAATTGGTTAATTTGTGAATTTGTGCCTGCTTTGGATTATATAATGTACACAAAGTTCTTCTAAGTGTAGGCCTATATTTTCCTCTGCTATAAAATAAGCAGTTTTGGAAAAGGTTTCTGGTCAATAACTCAAATGTTTCTACTAGTTGGCCCCTGTTGAGATACTTGTAAGTTTACATCAGAAAATGCTATTTGAATTTTTAATGTTACCATTTGAGATATTTAATATATTTTGCTTTGTGTTGAGTCAAAAATAGCAAACACATGGCTCTGTAGATGTTGAATATCATAAGCCTCAGCACCCATTTGGCCTTGCTCGCTGGAGCTGCTAGTAGTTGAGTAACTTATGGAGAATTATAGGATTCCCCAACTTTTGGATAGAGAGGACAAACTGTATAGCAGTAACCTAAATCTTAATAGACAACTTCAGGGGACGGAGTTCTGATTGATTAGAATGGGTTGTTAGCAACTCTAGACAGTCTTTCTGCTTGATATAACCTTACTTCCCTGAATTTTTTTTCTTTGCAAGTATATATTATATGCTGGCATTTTAGTTATAAAGCACCCCCCAGAGTCAGGCAGCTTATAAATAAAATAAAATAATAAAAATATATCCATTTCATGATCTGTGGACGATATGCTTCTGTTTCTTGCGGAGTGTTACTGTTCATGATTTTCTCAGAATATTGTATGTCAGGATTTAGCTTTGTGAATTTTAATCTTGTTCCTATGTTGCTTGCCAGTTCTGATTACTGCAATCACAGGCAAAAATGGGTTGGAAAGGTTAGAGTACAATAGAAACCCCTGGGCTCTGATCCATCAGATTTTGGCACGAGTTGAATAATCAAGCTACTTGTGTTTCAGATAGATTCTAGTGGATAAGTACCTACAGTATTTCAAGAAACATTTCAAGTAATTTGCCTGATATTTTCTAAAACCCTAATACTTATTTTTCAGCTGCTGGAAATGTTTTGCATTTATCTGCCAAAACTTATACAATTTTGAATGTTGAAATAAGCTTGTACAATAAACTCAGATATAGTAATTTCTCTAATTCATATTTGTTTATAAAAATTAATTTATATATCATACCATCTGATGAAGCATGTCTTTTAGGGGGAAAATGTCAATTGTAAGTATATTAAATTAGATATACTAGTTTTTATTTCTTCAGCAAAATGAAATAAGATAATATGTCTCTATGTTTCTAACATATATTATTAAGTATTTCTTTCTGAGATCTCTGTGTCTTTTGTTCAAGACTAAATCTCCTAGAAGATG